ATGAAAAATGATTTGATAAAGAATAAGATTAGTCGGAACTTTTTGCGACTACGGTTGTCAAAGAAAAAGCCGAAAATCTGATACTAATTGATACTTAAACTAGTAAGAAACTACTTTGCTGCTGCTACTGCTTCTACAGATTTCCTACTGCTGTTACTTCTATAGCTACTACTTTTGACATTACTACTACTACTACTACTACTACTTATGCTACAGCTATTTGGCCTACAACTACATGGCAACTAAATACTAACACTGTTACTTCTACTATACTGATACTACTACTATACTGATACTACTACTACTACTACTACTAATACTACTACAACTGCTTTGGTAAACCTACTGGTACTACTACTACTACTAGTACTATTACTACTACTACTACTGCTACTGCTTTGTTAAACCTACTGATACTACTAATGCTACAACTACTACAAATGCTTTGTTAAACCTACTGGTACCACTACTATTACTACTACTACTACTACAACAGCTTTGTTAAACCTACCGATACTACTACAACTGCTTTGGTAAACCTACTGATACTACTACTACTACTACTACTACTTACTACTACTACTACTACTACTACTACTACTACTACTGCTTTGGTAAACCTACTGATACTACTACTACTACTAGTACTACTGCTTTGTTAAACCTACTGATACTACTACTACTACTACTACTACTGCTTTGTTAAACCTACTATACTACTATGCTACAACTACTACTACTGCTTTGTTAAACCTACTGGTACCACTACTATTACTACTACTACTACTACTACTACTACTACTACTACTACTACTACTACTACTACTACAATTGCTTTGTTAAACCTACTGATACTACTACTACTACTACTACAACTACTACTACTGCTTTGTTAAACTACATACAATACTAATAGGCTATTATCAAAGTAATATCAAAATTAGTATGAAGTTTCAAGTTCTTAATATCAAAATTGAGCTTAAAATATTAGTATTGTGATAAAGTTAAAGCTTCAAAATATGACAAAATTACGTAAAAATACTGTCAACAACAAAGTACATGTACAGTGTATCAGATCTCCATTTATATAACCGAGCCGTTAAAACGCCAGTGTTTTTGTTGTGATTCTGTAGTGTTTGATTGATGAGCTGGTTCGGCGCTGACCTCACCTTTTCCTACTCTGAAATACTTCCTGGGTGCGCACAGGTGAGCGCTGTGGTCCTGCCGTATCAGGTGTCATGGCTGATGGCTCTAGAGGACAAAGTACTGGGATGTGAAGCCTGAGACCAGTGACAAACAGAGACACTTCAGACATGCTGTGCTTACTGTTACTTCTAGTGTTGCTACTAACTAGTACTACTACTTTTTTTTATTACTTCTAGTAGTTCTACCGTTACTGTAACACAGACTGAGAAGAGTGACAAACTACTGACATGACTACTACTAACTACTACTGCTACTTTTACTGTTGCTGCTTCTACTACTACTACTACTACTAATACTACTAATACTAATACTAATACTACTACAACTTCTATCACAACCATAACAAGGACTGACACTAGTGACAGACATAAATACTTTAGATATGTTGTGTTTACTGTTACTCCGACTTCTAGTATTAATGCTGCTGCTACTTCAACTACTAACTAGTACTACTACTTTTTCTGTTACTACTACTACTACTACTACTACTAGTCACAACTGTAACAGAGACTGACACTATTGACAAGCATAAATACTTTAACTTCTAGTACTACAACTTCTGGTATTATTGCTCCTGCTGTTACAACATCTACTAATTAATACTACTACTTTTTCTTTAACTACTACTACTACTATACTACTACTACTAGTACTACAACTTCTATCACAACTGTAACAGAGACTGACATTAGTGACAAATATAAATACTTTAACTTCTATTACTACAACTTATTATTGCTCCTGCTGCTACTACAACTACTAACTAGTACTACTACAACTACTACTACTTCTATCACACCCATAACAGAGGCTGACATTAGTGACAAACATAAATACTTTAGATATGTTGTGCTTACTGTTACTCCGACTTCTAGTATTATTACTACTGCTTTTTCAGTAAGTACAACTACTACTACTACTACTACTACTTCTACTTCTATCACAACCGTAACAGAGACTGACACTAATGACAAGCATAAATACCTTAGATATGTTGTGCTTACTGTTACTCCAACTTCCAGTATTATTGCTGCTGCTCCTACTACAATTACTTACTAGTACTACTATTTTTTCTGTAACTACTACTACTACTACTACTACTACTACTACTACTACTACTACTACTACTTCTATCACAACCGTAACAGAGACTGACATTAGTGACAAACATAAATACTTTAGATATGTTGTGCTTACTGTTATTCCAAGTTCAAGTATTATTGCTGCTACTACTACTACTGCTACACCATAACAGCAAATACTGCGTTATATTGCTATTACTATTACTGTTACTACTCTAACACAACTGCCATTTCTTCTATTTCTACTGCTAATGCTGCTATCCTAACAGCTAATACTACTGCTACTACTACTTTTTTATTACTACTACTACTACTACAACTTTTACCAATAAAGTAACACCTTATACTACTGCTATTAGTCATAAAACAAGAAATACTACCACTGTTACTTCTACTAATACAATTGTTGCTATTCCTGCTACTCTACAACTACTGGTATTACTACTATTACTACTACTGCTTTGCTAAACTATTGCTGTTTCCTCAATGATTTTTGCTGCGTATTTTACTGCTACGTATTTCTATTATTGCTTCTACGACGATTCCTTAGAAATACTTTAACCGATACTGCTAGTAGTTGTATTATTAATAGAACTATTACCGCAGCTGTTAAATACTATAATTAGTTTAAAACACAGACTACGTTTGACGTCACCGCTCCAGTCAAATGAAGTTCATCGAGACCTGCTGAGTCGTTTTAGGAAGAGGAATTTATTTACAGACAAAATAGCGAAATAAAAGCACCAGGAACAAGTAGAGCAGGCTAATACGGACATTTTTTAAGACCAAAATGATGAGGCTCACTGTGATTTTACATTTATTACTTATCTTTCCATTTTATTTTGACTTGTACATTTACATTTATAGAATTACGTCTTATTTGACACTTGACTCTTGCTCTTTTTTGCTACTTATGTAGAATTTATTATTACCATTTACATTTTTGCTGTTTGTTGTTATATTTATTATGATGTGTGAGCTACTGTGTCCAAATAATTTCCAGTGTGGATCAATAAAGTTTGTCTAAGTCTAATGCAAAGTGAATTGGAGCCAGAGTCGATGGAGCCTGAAGCGCGCCCATGCTCACTTCCTATTTGGAAAGCAGTGTCCATTTAAATATACAGTCTATGGTTAAAAACTACAAACATCACATATTTGGATGTAATTAATTCAATCTGAGGTGGGTATTTATTTATGTACGATGAATATTTACGCAGACACAACTAACAGCATGAAGTAGTACCGCAAATATTTTAACCCAGAAGCTGTGCATTTTCACTCATTTATTAAATTAAACCAAGCTTAAAGTGTATTATGCAACATCTTTTTACCATATTATAACATTCACTGTCAACTAGGGATGTAACGATATCCAAATCTTTCGGTCCGATATTATCACGATCTGCATCTCACGGTACGATATTTATTGCGATATTTTGAAGAGGCTGATATAATTGTAGACGGGACACTTTTTTGCTTTTAAAATACCTTTTAAAATCATTTTGGTGTCAATAATTTCCATCATAATCCCAAGAATTCAAGTAAAATTCATATATCTTCATGTTGTCTGCGCTGAAATGAATCATGGGATATGTAGTTCCTGATGTTTATAAGCTGTTGCAACTAGAAAACAATTAATTTAAGTAAAGGAACTTGTAATTCGATATATTGTGACAGCCCACGATATTATTGTGAGACTTCTGACGATACAATATCACGATATTTCGGTTACTGTTACATCAACTACTGTCAACCCACCCATGCTCTCACAATTCTCGCCGCAAAACAATACACTACAACTTCACAAACCTGATGCAACAGTGCGCGCAGAAGTTTCATTAGCGAAATGCATGCTGATTGTAATGAGATAGCGCTCTGAAGGGGGAGTGACTTAGCGCAGAGGGGGCTTATTAAACATGTTAATTGGTTGTTGTCGTCGAATATAGCATTTTCAAAACAATAAAAGTCAACTTGGTGAGCTGTTAATACCCCATAGAAGTAAAATACCCCCTCTTTAAGTTAATCAGTATCTTGCATTTGCATTTGTCATTGAAGCGCGGCTGCAGTCTCCACACGGCCGCAGCGTCAGACAAGGAACACTTTCAAAATTATGTAAAGCATTATCTACATTTCCACCGCATGACCCCGCGCTATCGGACAGCCCATCTCAGCCTGAAAGAAATCCCATGTGTTTCTACCCGGTATTCAAATCCAGACGGGAACAAACTTCTCTTACAACCAGAACTGCAACCATTAACCTGAATAATCGTGACCTGTCAATTATTAAAGTGATTGTTTTTTGACTGCGAGGGCGCGTTCACACTTGCACAATCGCCACATCAAACTGAACTCGAGCCAGAAGTAAACCAAGACTAGACCAGGACTAGACCAGGACTCAAACAGGACCAAACCAAGCTACAAAAGGACTTAAACTGGACTCAAACCAGAACCAAACCAGTACCAATACAAATGTAAATATGACCGTAAATGCTCTGTTTGAATCCATTTCTTAAAACTTTCGGTGTTTCCTAACGTGTGCGTTGTGTCGCCACGGTAACTGCTGAACATTCCACCAACAGAGATACAAGCAGAACACCCCCAGAGTGATTCAACATTGCAACAATTCTGTATCGACATTTATCAAAAAAGCAGCTTGATTTTTTTTTATTTTTTACGCAGTTTCAATAAATAAAGTAATTAGAGGAGTCTTACCTGTGGATAGTCGAAGTCCGAAAGCGGTGCTATGCTTTTTATGTATTCGATTCTGAATTGGTCCTCTGGGTTGGCTAGCGGGACAGGGGGTATTAAAGTGCTCATCGCCGACACTATAGTCTAAAAAAGCGAAAATAAAAGAAAGAGAAAAGGATAATTATGTAAAACGTAACAATATTTTGAAAGCTAAGATACTGGGTTTACTATAATGCACTGGAAAAAGCAAAGGAAACTACATAGACCATGATCCTTTGCTCTATTTTACTGCACTTTAAATCATAAATGTGATTACAAATAACAATTACTTTAGGGAATAATAATTAGAACACTGTGAATCTGTAATATCATGACATCACTGTACCATGTAAGAGCACTGAGGAGACTTACCACTATTGCATCCTTCACGTTTTTCCGGATATCTTGGATTTTCTGTTTCTTTTCTCTGCATTGGGACAGAAAACCAAAGCATGAGGAGGTGGAGATTACAAAAGCGCTGTTATCAGAGCTGTTACAGTTAGCCATAGGGGTTACTGCCAGGTGAGACTGTATGCTAAAAGTCTTGCAAATAGTACAAAAAAAAAGTGGTAAATGGGGAATGGAAGGAAGGAGGAACTAGTGTTTGCGATTAATGTGTATTATCTGTAAAATACACTGTAATATGCATGCATAAATAGAAAGAAATGCCATATTTTAGCTCTCAAATCTCAGTGAATATAGTCCAAAATCATCTAAATCTTAATTTTGGGTTAATAAATGTACATAGAACAGCTACAAGACAATAGTTTTATTATAGATTGTAAATATATTTATAATGCTTTAGTTAAAGGTCCTATATTACTCAAAATTGATGCTTTGACTCATGTTTTAATGTTGTTACCTCCCGAAAAACACACCCAGAGTCGCGTTTTGTTTCATTCACACGTTTGAGTAATCCTGCATTATTAGTCTGTCTGCATCTCCAAAGCTCAAAATCCCCGGTTCCACCTCGTGATGTCACGAAGCAGTAGCTTTCAAGTTAAGTTTAATTTTACCTTTTGTTGAGTTGTTGTTTTCGGTTTGAGAGAAGAACCCAGCCTAAATATGCAGGTTTTGCGTGTTACAGATGTGTGAATGAAGCAAAACACAACTCTAGGTGTGTTTGTGATGAGGAAATAGCATTATAACAGATGAGAAAAAAAGCATAATAAGGGCCTTTTTCACCAAATTAACACTGTCTACTTTTGGCACAACTGTTTTATTACTGTAAGTATTATGTAATTATTAGACCAATGTCCAAACTGAACTGCAGATTTCTATCATAATCTATCTGATTAAATAAAAGCATTATGGAGTACTGAGATTGGACAACACTAAAAATAGGCAGTCTCCCCCTTCTGCTAGTTACGCCTATGCACCAGTGGCTTTCCATGGACTTTCAGGACATGTACCGGTTGTTCAAATGGAGCACTGCTAATGATCAATGCCGTGCAGGGCCTTGCAGCAAAAACAATTGGTCAATACGGGCCCAGAGTCGATCCCAACCTCTCACCCTGTCGCATCAAACAGGAAATCTGACATGACAGTTTGCTTCTGCCTTTAGATATATAACTGTACTGGTGCGTAAAGGAGGGGGACAGCCAGGGTACAACAAGGAAGGAGTGGAGCAGTGCTGGGGCTAGCCGCTATGCCATTGCAATAGTACAGGGCCCTTCCTAGCGCTACTGCAGTATGCATTGACAGCCTATGCACTTGCTAGCAGCCTTGTTATTAGCAGAAGGGCTAGTTGGATAGACATAAGGCAATAGTTAGCGTCGGCGTTTAGATTAAAAAGTCACTCACTCCGCGTTGAATCCATTGACGTGTAGGATTCTCATCTGCTTTACAATGGTGCTCTTTCCGGACTCTCCCGCACCTTGAGGAGGAAAAAAAAACACACACACAAATACGACAGAATATTAGCACATTTTAGATGCGATCAAGCGCGGACATCCCCGCTTTACGCACGTCCAAACGCGCAAATAAGCACCAAATGTGTCCCAAAAAAAATGAATGCAGTGGCAGATCGGATCGTAGGCTCCGGTGCTCGCTTGCTTTGCTTGCCTGCTTGCTTGCTTGCTTGGCTTACATCAATATCCACCCCCATGACATATTATTGCTAGCGCTGTCAAACGCTGCTACGTGTTCGCCAAACCACGGCCATGGCACATACGAGAGCACCCTTACCAAGCAATAAGAGCCTGTGCGTGGCTTTATACGCTTGTCGCTCCTTTTGCAGCTGTTTTTCGATCTTTTTATTAGCTTCTCGTTGTGCCTTTTCGTCGATGCGTTGATCCTCTGTCTTACTGTTGCCCAAACAACCCATCTTCCGTCGCCCTAACCCTTCCACGAGGAAACGTCAAAACGAATGAAAATAACAGTTAGATTAGTCCTCCCGAAATGACTGTAAATGTTGAAAAATAGAAAAAAAAATCTTCGTCGGAGGGGAGGGAGGGATATAGGTTCCCCCCGTTACAATTCCGCTTTAGCCGCAGCCGACCGTCATCCAAAAGCGGTCTCCTTTGCGCACCAACCAGCGGAGAAAAAACGACTCGATTCGGGCCAGAAATGTCCAAATTTACAAAAATAAAGGCGAGACAGAGAGAAGGGGGCTTCGTGGGATTCAAGACAACAGTTCGTATCGCGTCTCCAGCCCCTCTCGTCTCTCCTCTATGTGTTTTTCTGTGTGAATGTCTCTCACACTATTGCTCCGGTCGGTCTCAGCACTGCCTCTCTCTGGCGCACCAGGAAGTAAGCGAAGTGGCCGGTGGCTCTGGAAAACAAGCCTGCGTTAAAGCTCCAATATTAAAGGGGTAGGGAGCTCCGTGGGCCCGTGCTTTGGAGAAGGTATAGCGTGAACACAGGTCTCTATTTACCCGGGACAGTCCCAGTTTTGAGCCCTGTGTCCTCTTGTCCTTGCAGATTTATCCCAAACCACTGATTTGTCCCAGTTTTACACAAGAAATGACCCTATTTTGACCAATTTGATCCCTGACAACAGTAAAGACAGTCATTTGTTTAGGTAAAATACAGAAAAGCTGCTTAAAAATGACCAAAACACAAAGAAAATGTGACTATACTGACTCACATGTTAGTCATGAATGGTCTCTGCATAACAATTTTCTTAAATTACGCACTCTTTTCTCAATTTTATTATTACCAACCACCAAAAAAACAGGGGGATGTCCCAGTTTTTATTTTATTTTGAAAATCTGGTCACCCTAAGAAGGTATATTTTGAATACATTTGGTGAGGTGAGTTTTTTTGTCACATTGTCATAGAGTTTGAAGAGATAAAGACACATTTTTACCTTATAACGATAACAAATATGAATTGTTTAGCTAATAAGGTGACCACCGGAAGTTTTATTAAAAGAGGGGGGTTGTTGAATGCTATAGGACATGGGACTTGGGGAATTTAAAGTGTTATGTGTATGTAATTTTCAGTCAGCTGCATAATTCTACGTAAAATGACTATTAAAACTATACTTATGAACATTATCCATGGACTTAGACATGTTTTTATATTCACACTGTGGAATATTAAAGCCAAAGGAACCACATTACCATGGAAACAGGCAGGAAGAGGTCGTTCTCCAGACCAAATATAAGTCAGATTTATGGAGCTTACAGTAAGAATGCATGTTTTTCTATGTTTTCATTTCATTAAAACATCAATAATGAAACAATATGCTTTAATTTTAGCATATTTTTCGACAAAGGAGTGACATACTATGACTTTAACATCATAGATAACAATTAACGCATATAATTTTTTATTTTATCAGTCATAACACATTGAGACTGGAATAACAAATTATGTTTTGTATGTAAATGTAATTTTTTATCAAGAAAAAACTTTGAAATTCTTGAAATAATTGGAATGAGGGACAACAAGCCTAATTGATTATACTGTATAGGGCAGGCTATTGATAAAAATGTTGTAAAAGTATATTTGGTATATCTTGCTTTGTGATTGGTTTGTGTCTTAATGTTGTGAATCAATTAAGCTTGTGGTTCGCAAAAATCTCTTGTTTAATAAGTAGTTCTCTAGGCAAAGGCAAAACGAGTTCTAAAATAGGCCACTTGTGAGGTCGAACGCAGAGAGGGCTTTGATTGTAAATGAAACAAATTTGACCTGTCAGTCCCACAACATGTAATCATCAGAAAACATCAGGGCACCACAGTTTGAGAAGCACTGGTTTAGGGTAGGTCAGTGTAAAGGTTTTATATTATTGGAATACATCACACAGGAGGACTAATAACACTGGAATAAATTATAAAAATGGCAATAAATCACATTTGAAAACATCATCACCAGTACCATATTTGATCACAGAAAGCAGCGCCTCACTTGTGGGACTACTGGGTTGACGCTGCATTCTCCCCTCCACTGGTTTAGTCCCGAAACTAAACCAGGACTAGTTTCGGGGACTGGACCAAACCAAGTCTACACCAGGACAAAACTGGGTGGAACTCGACCAAACCAGAGCAAGTGTGACCACACCTTGAGAGATTAAATTTATAATACATTTGAGACGACAGTGGCTCAGGTAGTGCAGCTATTGAATTATCAGAGTGAAGTTGCAAGTTTGATTTTAACTTGGGCCATAGCTGCGGTTGTGTCCCTGCCTCAGTTTGAACGAGCTGCGTGAGGGATTTGTGGTGGTCAGACAAGCAGCCACAGAATGGTCAGTCCGCCACAGGGCAGATGCGACACCACTCCCGTCTATAAATCATATGATTCATAAGAATCATGCATAAAAAAGGAGCTTTATAAGACCAGTGCACAAAAGGCAAACCGCTTGGTCTGGTTTGGGCTATGACCATGATGAGGATTCACTTTACAGGGTTATTAAAAAAAGAAACTGTAGTAGTTAAGCTGTTATGTAATGCGCATTTCGAGGAATGGAAAACGTTGATAATATGCACCAAGACAAAAGACACCTGCACAAGAGCTTTTCACTTTCACTTTCCAAACATGTGTGACTGTTTTTCATTTAAACGTGTGTCGTCGCTCCTGTCTGCTTCTGCAACCTGGGAATGTGCTGACAAAGACCTTTTACACGTATTTAGACCTGAGCCTGGAGCTGGCCAGAGCTAATCAAACTGCTCAGGTTTCTTATTATGATTGTCATATGAGGGCCGAGATCTAAAATTGCGACACCTGCCTGTAGACTGATTTTGACCAAAACATAAGGTGATCAGGACTGTTGAAAATGTGATGGACGAACAGGACATGCCCAAAATAAAATGATTCATTGGACTGAGAGGCCAGTGAAATTCGGTTGAGTGATAGTGCACACTGACAAGCCTAAAATATAATTGTGGCCCCGCCCTTGGACCAACAGGAAGTCAGTCATATTGGATTAAAATTTCAAACCAGATTTCACTTGCCAAATATTTGAACTAGTCGTAGAACTAGTCAAACTCGGTCCGCACAATCTTGAGACATGGAGCATTAAGAATCATTGTCAGGTTTGAGCTACACTTAAGGTTTTTACATAGTGTTTCATTAAAAAATCTTCTTTTTGTATATGTTGGGGCAATGGCAAAGCAGGGGGTGTTTGCAAGATAGGCCAATACAAGCCAACACAAGGGCCTTTAACGCCGCTTGCAGCTTTAATTGTTCATTATCCTTTCAAACCATTTCAGAAAATATTGAGCTTTCAGTACAATCTAAGTAAACAGGTAAACCAATGCCAAACTAAACCATGAGAGACCAGGGCTTCATTGAATTATTGTGTCCTTGGGCAAGACACTAAAAATTTTTTCTATTTAAAATGAAAATGTTTGGGTTTGTAAATGTTACTTTATAGATTTTAGGTCTATACAGTAATTAAAATCCAATATACTAAGCTATATAAAAAGACAACAATGAACAATAATTTGGTCGTCTTGTCTGAATCTTTAGGTACGAAATAGAGGAGGATATAATTTTGAGATTAGAAACGTTTCCTCTTCACTCGACCAAAATAGAGCGAAGGTTTGAAAAACATACACTTAAAAAGCCACAAAACCAGTTTCACTTTGTCTTATGAAGGGAAAGTGGCTATTTTGGGTCGCACACAAGTTTAAATTTCAAGTCAATGCTGGGCAAAGTAAAAGTAGTAAAATATTGTACTTATTATAAATACACATTTTAGGTATTTGTACTTTACTTATGTAGATGCTTTTACTTTTACTTCACTACATTTGATATCACAACTTTCTACTCCACTACACTCCACGTCAAAGTCTATATTTTTGACTCATTTGCAGTTTGAGCAAAACAAAAATACACAAATAAAAGCAGCTAGAAAAAAAAACAAAACCAAAAAACGATAGATTCAGTTTCTATTGAACAAAATTCACACACAAATGCACAAATATTTATTAAAATCTAATTTTCAGACCTCAAAATCTGCATGAAATACTCTTTAAGCACATTTTTAAACAGGTACGGTAGATTTTTCATTACTTTCAATACTTAAAAAAAAATTTTACTTCTGTTTTTTTTTTTTTTTTTTTTTTTTTTGGCTCCAGTATCTCTGTACTTTTACTTTAGTTACAAAATTGAGTATTTCTTCCAGCTGGATAACTTAAACCACTAGTTGAGTTCTCGTTTACAGTCGGGTTTATAACTATATCAAAGTCCACTTCAGCCTGAGATAAACCACCAGTGTCTATTTTTGTCACAAAGAGCATTCTGTTACTGTCTGAATTATGCAAACAAAACGCAAATGCTCGTCTACATACCGAAATGTCAAAGTTTCACATGCAAATGCCTAAAAATCTGAATAATAAATACATTTAAATCCGATCTCATCCCACCTGACCCTGAAGTGGAGCGGGACAGAAGTACAGCTGCCCGTCTGCCTACCTCACGCAGCAAGGTCATTTATGGGACTGGACCACAGCGCCCTCTAGTGGCCGCACAGAGAATCGCACTCGTGTGGTCAAACAAAACAGCCATGTTGGTTTGGCAGCCTAAATGTAACCTGGTCTGTTCTATTTTTATCTGAGTTAAATAAGTGATTACGATCTTAGACGTAAAATACAATTAACTTGCAGAGGACTGAACAGATACCAAAGAAAGGCTGCAGAAAGTATTGAAAATCTGATACTAATCGATATTAAAGCTACTAGATACTCATTTGAGCAGGTATCGACACTAAAAAGTCACATTCTCAGGACAGAAATGAACCTTTAGAATGATCTTGAGCTGTATCAGAACAAATAAAAGAGCATATAGACCGAGGTGTCAAACTCAAATTCACAGAGGGACAAAATTAAAAACTGGGACTAAGTCGTGGGCCAAACTAAATATTTAGATATTTAATGTTGATATTTAATAATGACAAGATATGTAATGTTAAACTTTTTCTTATTAAAATAAATGTTTAATAATAGTTTTGTTTAAACATTGAATCCAGAACAAGCACAATATAAAACAATAACAACATTTTAAATAAATAATGTCTCTATAGTCTATCTGGAGCTTTTGAACTGCTTTTAAATGTTTCTTTTTTTTTTTTTTTTCCAGAAGCCAACAACCAGTCAAAAATAACAACTTGCTTGAACGATGAACAGTCAAAAATCATAAAACATTCATCCAAGCTCAATTTGCTAGACTCTAATTTACTCTGATTCACATGGGTCCAAAGCAGAAACAAATACTTGGCATCTCTTCTTAGATATATGTCCATCAAAGTAGTACTATTAGTAGTAGTAATAGTAGTGGTGCATGAGCCATACTGCTGTGGCAGCCGGCAGACCAGCTCTACTACATATTTGATATGAGCTCGCAGGCCAAATATAATTATATTGTAAGCCAAATTTGGCCCCCGGGCCTGAGTCTGACATGTCTGACATAGACTAAAACAGACTAAAACAGAGATAAGACTGTATGAAAAAGAAAATAAAGTACAATGATCTAAAAAGTTTTACTGTCATTGTGGTATCTGAATC